CAAGTTCTGTTGCTATGCCTGGCACTTCACATTTTTCTTCCTGCCATTGTGGAATCACAAGCCAAAATAAATGATTCTCCTAGAAGTGGATGAGATCTACATGAGTGGACTGGGTATGGTGGGGTGGCAGAGGGCGAGGAGTGGGGGATGAGAACATAGGGAAATGGGAGGGTCAAGTTGGAACAGGGACAGAGTAGGAGGGCAAGGAGGAAGATACCATGATAGATGAGGACATCATGGGAATAGGAAGAGGCAGGGTACTGGGGAGGCTCTCAAGAATCCACAAGGTTGACCCCACCTTGTTCTGCTGGTAGTGGTCCAGAGGGTGCCTGGACAGGTCTACTCTAGTGACCAGCCTTGCAAATAACCTGGCTGTCATCATAGAGCCTTTGTCCAGTGAGTGATGGAGGGAGATACAGAGATCCACGGCCAGGCACCAGGCTCCAGGAATCCAACTGATGAGAGAGGAGAGATACTGCAGGCGAGGGACATCAAGATCATGATGGCAGGACGTGCAGAGATGACCGACCACACTAGTAGAAGCTCATGAACTGAGGACTGGTGGCTGTGGAGCCCTCATGGGGCTGGACCAGGCCCTCTGGATATAGAAGACGATTGTTTGGCTCTAACTGTTTTAGGGGCACCCAGGCAGAGGGGTCAGAATCTGTCCCTGGTCTATGGGCAGGCTTCTGGAACCTGGTGTCTGTGGTGTGACACCTTGCACATCCTTGGTGCAGTGGGAAGGGGCTTGGACAAGCCTAGGCTCAGTGTTCTGGGCTCTGCTGACTCCCCATGGGAGACCTCGATTTGGGGCATGTGGGGATGCGGGGTGGCTTGGGAAAGAGGGCTGAGCAGTGGTAGAAGGGAGAAGGGAGGATCAGTGGGTAGTATGTGGAGTGAGTAGAAAATTTCTTAATAAAGAGAAATGAAAGAAAAAATTGTTTTTCTTTTAGTTCCTTTTCCTTCTTGTTTTTTTTTTTTTTTTGTTTTTTTTTTTTTCACAACAACAGGAAAATAACAAATGCAACATATAAAACTGAGTTTGGACATTGGTATTTAGCAGTGGAATAAAGATATTTAAATGTTTGATTTTTAATTTCCTTGTTGATGAAAATATGATATGAAATTTGGGGTTTGCATTGAGGATTCTATCATACCCTATAAAGAATGTTATTGTCATAACAGTTGGTCCTATTTAGCCATTTGACATCAGGTAAAATAAAAAATACAGCTCCATATAATGCAAAATGTCTGCTTAGTTCTTTCATTACCTTACTCCTCTTAAGTATGAATTCACTTAGTAAATTTATAAGTCTTCATAGATCCTAATAAATGTTCAAACTTTCTGTTTCATAATCATCACTCCTAGTGATGAATGTGTAGAGTGATGTTTACAGATACACTGCATTCAATATTTTTCAATGAAAAACTTCTAAGCTCAGGCAGATTCTTTTCTCATAATTTGCTATAGATAGAATAGTTCTAATAGTATCTGTCTGAATTTTTCTGGCTATCTTCATTAACTCTTTTTGCTTACATTCTGATCTTCCATTCTGTTGTAATCAGTAAGACCTTCTCTCTTCCTTCAAGGCTGCATTGTAATAATTCCCCCCTGCTGCTGATTCTTCATGTTTCCTCTTGTATATAGTCATGACCAGTCATGGTGGAGATGATGCTGATGATGATTATGCAAAGAGAGATATTACAAATGTCACTCCCTCCATTCAGGGATGGACTTTCCATCTATAACTCAAGGTGGAGAACCCTGTCATTGACTGTTATCTAGAAGTCAGATCAAGTTCAGGACTCCAGGAAAACACAAAGGGTAATATTTCAAGTAGAAAAAAAGTTGATGGAAGAATCTGAGGCACTGAGAAGATGACTCAGCAATTAAGAAAACTTGCTAATCGGTCATGGGATATGGAGTTTGGATCAGAGCACAATTAGATGTCACACAACTACTTATCCCTCCAGCTCCAAAGGCTCTGATATCCTCAAATGGATTCCATAAATATCTGAATACACATATGTACACATAGACATACACACACATATATACAAATAAAATAGAATATTTTTTTTAGAAAACAAAGAATCTAAGATTAGGGTTAAGTTGGACAGATATGAAAAAGAATGGAGGTTGCCTATACAAGGAAGGGAGGATTCTGGGGGCATAAGGCAACTGGTCAGAACCACATTCAATAATGTATATTCTATTTGAAAATGTTCTAATTTATTATATTTCTTTAAGTTTGGAAAAGATGCTTAATGAAATTAAACTGAAACATAAGAGTGCAGCTATCAGTTTAATCAAAATTGTTATAATCATCACCATCACCATATTTTGATCAGAAACACACACAAGCAGATTGACATTATACAGCAATTGTTCAAATACAGTTTAAAATAAAATGTAATTATTCTTGTGCAATCTTCATTAATTAATCTATTTTGGATATAATTTATATAACATAACATTGATATATTTTTGTATTACATGAATAATGCCATTGTAGTATTTTAAAAATCTCTCTCTCTCTCTGTCTCTCTCTCTCTCTGTCTCTCTCTCTCTCTCTCTCTCTGTGTGTGTGTGTTTGTGTATGTGTGTGTGTATGTGTATACATGTTTGTCGTGTGTGTGTAATATGAGTACCTGTGTAGATGGGTGTAATTTCCTGAGCAGGCCAGGGGTGGGGTGCTGAGTGTCCTATCCTATCATTTTCTACTTTATTATTTTGAGTCAGAGTCTTTTACTGAATCTGGGAATAGGGTTACTGTCAGCAACCCCCAGTGACCCGTCTATCCTATACCACTTCCTCTGAGCTGGGATTACAGATGTCTGCACCTTCACACCAAACTTTTTATGTGGGTACTGGAATCAAAACTCAACTCCTCATAACTCCCTGGCAGATATTCTTCCCCACTGAGCCATCTCTCTAGCCCTTTTATCATCCCCTTAAGGCAAAAATCTCAGGAGATGAAATCCTTCTCCACAATCATGTAGTTGTCTGTAATATTGCTCTTTGTCATTACTTTAATTCATACTACTTCCATTGATTCAAAACTTTTGGTCCCAGAAAAATTTTAAAACATAGTGTACTTTTCACTGATGTTTTCCTGCACCAGTGTGCTATTATCAGAGTATATTATAGAAAATGTTTACAGTGACAGTTTTGGGATTGAAATGATTGACCTTTTATCTTTCTTTTTGATTTTTTAAAAATAATTTCTTTATTGGATCTTTGGGAATTTCACATCATGTACTCCAATTCTGCTCATTAAGAATCGCTTCATGGTGAGGAGTCAGTGCTGGAGATATGGAGACTAGGAGACTTGAACCTATTAGACACAGAAGGAGAGTGACCCCTGACCACTGGTTTGTGCTGAATGCCTGCATTTTTTTTTCCTGGTAGATCATATAATCTGCCAACAAAGTCAAAGAGGTTCAACTATATTTTGAATTTTGATTTAATTTCTAATAAAATACAAGCCTCAAATCAAAACTGGCCATGTGTGCAGACATTTATTTAATATAGACATTCAAAAGCAACCAAATAGCAAACAGATCATGTAACCTATACTGTATTTTAGAGACACATGATTATTTTAGATGTGTTTATCAAACCCTGGTATAAAAATTCTCCTTTTGTGGATGTAAACATCATAAACATGCAGCCAAAATGACAGGGAAACCCTGATGTCACATTGATGTTGACTTCCCGGATTGAGAGATTTCCAGAGCTCTCTCTCCACAAGGAAGCTTTCAGCTTCTCATTCCCATTGTAGGCATTTCTATATTATGGGTTAAACAATGTTAATCTCTGTAAGAAAGCGTTTACCTTCTAGCCAATTTCAGGTGTGCAAAATTTTTAATAGCCTTAGTTGTTTGATGCTCTCCTTTCTATCTGTTATGGGGACAGGTGGCCAGACTGTCTCAGGACAGGGAGTCATGGAGGACACTTGCAATGAATATGTTGGTATTTGGGAGCCCTATTTGCCTTTACAGTTCCTGTTTCAACAAATGAAAAGCAAATGGCAACTTACCATTGTAATGTACATCACAAAATGCCTTATAGTTGACTATGGAGGCTAGTCTTTCTGATGCAATGCCAAGTAATTCTCATTAGAATACAGTTTGTGACTGTGTTAAATCATTAAGAACTCTATCATTAAGTTGCATAGCAATAATATGCAAATGTAAATGACAAGTGATACATATGTATATATATACATATATATAGTGTGTGCATTTTGTATATATTGTGTGCATGCATAATAATACACATATGTGTTTATGAGCGTGCTTTATTTTTTTTTATTTTTATTTTTTTGGTTTTTTTCGAGACAGGGTTTCTCTGTGTAGCTTTGCGCCTTTCCTGGAGCTCACTTGGTAGCCCAGGCTGGCCTCGAACTCACAAAGATCCGCCTGCCTCTGCCTCCCAAGTGCTGGGATTAAAGGCGTGCGCCACCACGCCCGGCATGAGCGTGCTTTATAACACATATGTATATAATAAAGTTTACTATGTTCTCCATGAGCCAGCTGTTCTCTAGCGGTTGAAGGTTTGTAACAGGTTGTTTTTACAGAGCATCCATAAAGTGAACTTCTGGGAAGCTTTCTTTTAAACCCTACCAAATACATTTTTTTGTACCTTACATTCTGAAATTATGCTCTCCTATTTTAGAAAAAAATTACTTAATATACAGTAACTAATAACATTTTCATTTGTTTTTCTTTTCCAAATAGTTTATAAACTCTTCTTCCATAGAAATAATCAATTCTCCTCTTACATTTCCTTTAGCATCTACTTATTTCAAACAGGTATTTCAGTAACAAGTTATGTTTCTCTCTCTTTTTTGCTTCTCATGTCAGCATGAAATGGCTTGGTATACAGATGCACAGGAAATGCTGTTGACTGACTAAAAAACATCTTATTATGGTACTACCATTATTGAAGTTTGCAGGTTTCTTTCCCTAATTTCAAAATGTCTTTTTCATTTCAGATCACCCCAGGTAGCTGTCTCACAAGATCAATCTATTGATTTTCACTGCATGGGGTAAAGAAGAAACCGCCAAATCAGGTATGGCTTTCAGGCTCAAAAATTATCCACTTGAAATTAAACATATATAATGCACTACAGACTGAAACTTTTAAAATATTCTTACAATGGAGCTTGAAGCAAGTGGTTTTTGGAAATTGCTAAAGAAATCTTTATTACTTTTTTTCTAATGCAAAACCTCTCTTGTGAAAAAGAAACCATACAAGCTCTTGTTAAGACTTTTTCATTGTATTTTACCCCATCTAATAATTACCGTATCAACACATACTCTGTCTAAATGTCCTTAGCCACATTCCCACTGTAATCTGATGTCCATTGTTCCTGCCTTTGATATGCACTGGAAGTCCACAGCATCTTTTTAGTCTAATCAGTATTTAAATGCCTTCCTTGTCTGTTGAAATGAAAGTAGCAGTGATTAGTGGCACAGATGTTTCCCTGAAATTGAAAATGTAGGGGTTAAAACCACAAATTAAGCCAAATCCACACAGTCTTTGCATGCATATTCATTTTTTTATTTGGAGAGGGATGGGGTTGTGAGATGAACATTACTATCAAGCAAAAATGGTACTGGTTAAACTTGTGAAACTCTGTGACTGGAAAAAGAGAGGACATTTGAAAATAGGTCAGTGCAAACTTGAAGAATGGATATACAATTTTAATATGCTGGTAAAATAAAGTATTGTCTGCTGTCACAGATGATGCTGGGAGACACCTTGGAAAGACAAAGAATAATCAGAATTGCTTGCCAACTGAAAAAGTGCATAAGGATTTTTAAATGCCCATGAAGAAATCATCATAATTATTTATTGATACATTAATATCATGTGGTGTTTATCTGCTAGTGACCTAAAATTCTATAAATATGAGTATATAACCTTTAGTTGTCAAAATGCACAGTTTATAATCACTAAAAATTGCCATATTGATTTTATTTGCCTATTATTTGTGTTCTTTCTTTAGTGTTATCCATTAAGACTTAATATTTGACAAGGAGCAAAGTTTAAAGGTACTTGTATCAGTGAACTGATAATTACTTCATAGTTAAAGAAGGCAATCTGCATTTGGGTGGTTTTTCCAGGAGTCTCTTGTGTTTTATTTGAATTGCTTTAATGATTATAAGAGGATGAGAATCTTTGAATTAGATTGTGTCCCCTAACAACCAGCATATGTAAAAAATCCATATCTAGGTTTCCTGAGACCATGGACCATGCTGTAATCTTCTATGAAGCTCTATTCACATAGACTTAGGAGGTTCCATTGAATCTTCTCTAATGTTAATATTCACAATTAAGAGATCATCATTACTCTTAGTTGAGAAGGAGATACCACAAGGAGATTCAGTGTATCTTAAATGAAAAACAAACAAGAAGAACCCCCTTTTTATTGACTCATTGTGAATTTTACATGATACATCCTGATCCCGCTCATCTTGCCCCTTCGCCCCCGCCCTCTGCCCTTATGACCTCCTCCCAAAAACAAGACAGAATTTAAAAGTATAGCCTAAAAACAAATCAAAAAAAAAATGGGGGAAGGAAGGAAGGGAGGGAGGA